GTGGCTCAGTCGGTTAAGCGTCCGACTTCGGCTCAGGTCATGATCTCACGGTTCGTGAGTTCGAGCCCCACGTGGGGCTCTGGGCTGACGGCTCGGAGCCTGGAGCCTGTTTCGGATTCTGTGTCTCCCTCTCTCTCTGCCCCTCCCCTGCTCTCAAAAAGAAATAAACTTAAAACAAATTAAGAAAAAAGTAACCCGCGTCTCAAAGTTAGAACATGCGTCACTCTGCCCAACTGACTCAGGTGTTCCCGTGTCTTCCTCTGGGTCACTTAGCGTCCAGGGTGGCATCGTGTCCACACACCACACCTAGAGCTTGTCCTGGCTGATGGCCATGGACCGTGCTTCACCCCCCCCCCCCACCCCCCAGGCCTGCGGCAAACCCAGATGCAGACGTCACGTAAGCCACGAGGCAGGAACCGTCTGGGCCCATCTGACAGACTCACCTACAAAACCCAAGTGACAGAAACGGGTCTCTTCCGACAGCACCGACAGACAAAGGCTTTCGTAAAGATAAATTACGGACAAGTATTTCCAGGGGCAGGTTTCCCTCAGAGTCAAGTGCAAGGGAAGGAAGCCAAGACGGCGGTCAGGTTCAGTGCCTCGCTTCGGCACAGCGGCAGGGGAGAGAGTCAGGTTTTGTTTTTAAGTTAGTGCGGTATTTTCAAAACGTGAACACCTCGTAAAAAACCAAATCACACGCCGAGGCTGGTACGCTCTGCGGAAGGGGCTGGTCTCCTCCACTTGTGAATCCATTCTTCCAGCTCTAATGAAATAGAATGGGGCGCTGGGGTTTATAGGCAACATATATTTGGTTGTCACGCGGTTCCTAAAAATACCCTTGTTGATTTGCTTTCCAGGAGCTACAGGGACATCATTTTGTTATCACGTTTCGTGTTGTTCCCAGTTCCTGAAATAGCTCCAGATAGCAAAGGTTGAAATGGGCGTTTTTCGGATTCGAACGAACCAGTTTGTGCTAAAGGCTGAGCGGTGGCTGGGGCTCCTGGGTGGCCTGGAGGGGGCTGGTTGCGGGAGGAACCACTCAGCGATCCCAGGGTTGGCACTTTCAGCCCCGCCCACTCTCTCTGGGGAGGAGGTGGGGCTAAAGGGTGGAATCAATTCACCCATCAGTGGTCCACAATTTAATCGGTCGGTACCACGTGAGGAAACCTTCATACACCCTGAACTATGGGATCCGAACTACAGAATTCGGAGAGCTCCCGGGCTGGTGAACACACTGATGCGGGGAGGCCGGTGCACCCGGGGAGGGCACAGCCGCCCCCACCCCTTCCCCGCACACCTTGCCTTATGCCTCGCTTTAGGGGGCTGACCTGGTGGCAGCCCCCGTGATGAATCGGTAACGTAGCAGCGAAACTGTTTTCCTGAGATCCGTGAGCCACTCCGGGAAATTAATCAAGCCCTCGGAGGGGTCTGAGAGGTGGTGGGAACCTTCAACTTACAGCAGGTAGGTCAGAAGTTGTGTGTCACATTCCCCGGGCACTCGCGGCCGCCCTAAAGCTAAAACAGGAAAGCACAAATGGTTACCTGATAGAGATCGGGGTCCTGCAGGACAGGAGGCTCCGTCAGTCTGCAACCGTTTTAACGATTTACGAGAAAAACAAGGCAAGCTCCAGAAACATACGAGCCTCCGAGCCTCCGTTTCCTGGAGCCCTAACGTCACCCTCCCCTCCAGAGTGATGTGGGGAACTAAGGCAAGAAGAAAATGGAGATAAAATTACGTGTCCTTGTAACCTGCAGCGCACTGACAGATACCTGAGGCAAATACAGAGGAGAACATTCCTCCAGGAAGTCCCTAGGGTCTTAAGGTTAATGCTTTGCTTGCTGGAGGGAAAAAAAACAATCTTAGCTTGACAATAGCAAAGGCTCAGGTATCCTAGGAATCCTCCTTAGCAATGAGAGTCCTTTTGTTTTTTAAAAGTTTTAAATGTTTATTCATTTTTGAGAGAGAGGGGGCAGGGGAGGGGCAGGGAGAGAGGGAGACCCAGAATCGGAAGCAGGTTCCAGGCTCTGAGCTGTCGGCACAGAGCCTGACACGGGGCTAGGGCTCAAGAACTGTGAGATCATGACCTGAGCTGAGGTCAGACGCTTAACCGAATGAGCCACCCAGGCGCCCCTGAAAGTCCTTTTGGAGGCCTCCCTTTGGCCTTCCCTCACCTCCCCTAACTCTGTGGTATAGAACCAGTCACGCCTCACGACCCCAGTGCAGCTTTCTGCCCAGGGTCCTGTCCACGTGCTTTAATAGAATCACCTTTTCGCACCAAAGACGTCTCACGTGGGCCCCGGACCCCCACCGTCACTTCAAAAGCGCATCAGTGGGGGCGCGGGAGGGGCCGTCTCGCGGGACGTGGGCCCTTCACCCGTGGGATCCGACGCCATCTCCAGGCAGATGGTGTCAGAATTGAGTTAAATCGTGGGACACCCAGCACCAGCCGGAGACGCGCAGAATCACTTGGGGTGGGAAAAATCCCCCCGTCTGGGGTCCGAAGTACCGTCCGAGAGTGACGGAGAAGCAGGGCCCCTCTCCCTCGCGAGACACTCCTTAACCTTTCAAAGAAGTGCCTTTATTTATTTACAGGGCTTACGAAAGGAAAAAAGCTCTAGAAAAAAGGAAATTTCAAAATAGGCCCAGGTGCGGGGAGCATTTGGGAGGGTCGGGCTGCGGTCTTCTGCGCCTCCTGGTGGTCACTTCCAGGTTGTGAGGACGGTTCTCCCCGAGTCTCTCGATCGGCCCCCTCTGGGCCCCAGCGACTGGCCCTGGCGACTTCTCAGCTCCCGGTCAGCCCCGTCGCCCTGCGCCAGCTCTTCATCATAGCTGGAAACAGAGGGACATCTTCAGGGTCCAGCAGCAGCAATGCCACGCACGGCCACTGGCCGCTGGGCGGCGGCGTGGCGAATCCCGCAGCAGCCAGGGAAGCGGCCCGGCCCCCACCCTGCGCTCCCCCAGCCCACCAAACCCTGCCCGAGGCCACAGAGCGCAGGCGTGCTGCCTTGTTAAACTGTTTTCGGGAACAGCTGACATCTTATAAAAGGCTACCAGATGGAACGGCGCAATGACCCCAAGGGAAACATGAGTGAGACACCAGGGTGGTGAGGGAGAAAGCTGACGTCCGGAAACATTTTTACGCACAGCATCTGGGGGCAGGTTATGACTGACCCCGGTTGAGATCGGGAACAGGGTGTGAATGACCCACCCGGGAGGAGGGGGCCAGGACAGGGAGAGGCTCACAAGAAAGCAGGGCCCTCCCAAGAAAGGCTAGATCCCGCCTCCACCAGCCTCGACTTACCTGCCCCTCTCCATTAACATTCGCGCACCAGGCCTGTGTAGGAAAGTGCATGATCTGTGTAGGCAACAGAGCCTGGGCTTTCGCCTTGGAAAGAAGTGAGCTGGGACCCTGGACGCGCCCGCCCGATGATGACATCTATCGGGGCAGTCCCTGGCCCCTCTCGCCACGATGAGCCCCTCTTACGGGGTCCGTGAGGGTGGAGAAACCCCACTGCACCGCTTGCCGGCCCTGGCAGGTGAAGGCTCTGGCCAACAAGTTCTCCTATCCCCACCGTGACTTCACATCACCCTCCTGACTCAGAACAGCGGGACTTATGATCCCCACGCCCTGACTGAGGACCCTCTGTGATAAGCAGACATTCATGCCAAATGCGACAGAGACTAAGATGCTGAGTTATGTCGCGTTGGCTGAATTTTGCTCACTTTGGGAAAAGGGTATATTTCTGTTAAATGTTTATTCCCAGAATCAGAATCTGCACGTCGAGTGTGGTGTGGGACAGAAGCTTCTCAAGCTTCTGTCAGAGACAGAAGACTATGCAGAACATAGTCTCTGCATCGTGCTTCTGGTGGCAAACTGGGGGCTGAGAAGGAAGGGCAAGGAGGGGGAAGGCCAGTTTGTTGGGCTTCTCTCTGTCGGGATGGGGATCAGGGCAACAACGGGGGACCCCCGTCTCCCCCGTCTCCCTAAGGAGAGATGATGCCGAAGGGAGGACTCCCCAGGGACGCTGGAGGGTCCGCCTGTGGGGGGTCCTCCCAGGAAGCCTCCCGGGCCCCTCTCCACCCCAGGGACTGCTAGAGCCCCTGGACGCCCCGTTCGCATGTCAGCACCCACCCGTTGGCACCTGCTGCCGGTTCTGTGCCTGTGCTGCTGCCCTAAAGGCCGGAGTGACCCCATCCATCTGGCTCGCAGTTGCCCCAGCACCTCGCTCTGGGGCGGGTGTGCAATGAGAATGTACTGAATGAGGGGGGGGGGAGACCCACACAGGGATTACCAGTCTCACTGTGCATTTGTGCTGGTGTGTGCAGCTTGCAAACATGACAGAAACAAGCATTTGGCAAGCAGCTGGCATCTGGGACGAGCTGTTCCCAGGGGCGGGATGGCCCCCGATGGAGCTAATGTGGAGGAGAATCAGGCAGGAGGGTTTTCAAGGGCCTCCTCCCATTCTAGCAGGCTTTCCTCCTGGCTTTTTTTTTTTTTAGTTGACTTATTTTGAGAGAGGGAGAGAGACTGAGAGAGAGAGCGAGCTCGCACAGCAGGGGAGGGACAGCGGGAGAAGGAAAGAGAAAATCCCAAGCGGCTCTGGGCCGTCTGCTTGGAGCCCAACGCAGGGCTCGATCCCACGAACTGCAAAATCGTGACCTGATATGAAATCCAGAGTTGGCTGCCCAACCGACTGAGCCACCCAGGCGCCCCTCCCCCTGGCTTTTTGACAAGTGGATGGCAGTCATCGGCAGGGTTCAGGCAGTGTTTTAAAGCCTGTACGAGTATACCCAGCACCTTCAGACCTGGGCCTGGAGGCCGCAGGTACAGAGGGCGGGGCCTCATGGCTTGAAGGCCGGGATGGCAATCAGGGCGACGAGAGCACCTATCTTGCGGGGCCGGCGGCAGCAGCAGCCCTGTGACCTTGGGCAGTTAACTGGCACCCCGGCTTCCTCCTCCTCCTCCTGCCGGCACCCCCCCGGAGGATGGCTGGGAACAACCCTCCAGGAAGGCAGAGCACCTAGCTGGGCAGGAAGCCGGGGGCCCGCCCTCCTGCTGCGGGAGGGAGGCCGAGGCTGTGAGCCACAAACAGGATTCCTGCCTATGAGGTCATCTGAAGCACGGGGAGCAGTCCTGAATGGAAGCGTCTGGAACTATCAGCTCTGTGCTGGAGCCTTCCTTACGTATGGGGTGGGGAGAGGGCAGCTGAGTGGGTTGGTGGGGGGAGGGGGGGTCACCTCTCTGTCTCTTCACCTAATCGCAGGGAGGCTCTGACCTCTGCATCTTCAACGGGGAGCAGAGTGCCGCCCTCCCCCGCGGGCTCCCGGCAGCCCCGCCACCCACCACCCTGGGCTGGGAGCTCGCGGATCCGGATCCGGGTCCCTCACGCTGCTGGCGAGAGAGGCAAGACTCCTCCCCACGCTCTGCCCCCACCTGTCTCAGAGGCTGTCGGGGCTCAGCCCCCGTCTCCTCCATGTCACCCTGCACGTCCCTCGCTGCCACCCCCGGAGGCTCCGCACACGCTCCAGTCTGACCCCCCCCCCCCAAACTCTTCCTTTGCGCCCTCAGATCTCCGTCGCCAGCAAACCCGAGTCCTGGGCCTCATCCTGGAAACGTCCCCTGCACCTTCCCGTGCTAAAACCTGGCTCTCCCTGAAGACGTTGCTCCCCTGCAGCCCTGCCCGTAGGGGTGCTCTCTCTCCCACCCATCATGCCCCTGGGCCTGCAGCGAGCTCCGCTCGTCAAAACCTCCTTCCCGGGTCAGGAGGACCCACCACCCTCCTTGCGCGGCTACCCAGAACCCTCCACGGTGCTGCCCCTAACTGCTTAAGGCTCGGGCTCCTGGCTCACAACCCCGGCGACCGCAATGACCAAACAGAGGAGACCCCAGTTCCCTGACCCTGCGCCCCCTCCCCCCACGACCTTGTCCTCCCCCAGCTCAGACCATTCCCACGGCACCTGACCTTGTCCCGTTCAGCAACCGCCATTCCTGCAAAACCCGGACCGCAGACGCTCACCCTGACCTCTCCTCTCCCGCTCGCTTCCCGGGCGTCCCCACCCCAGCAACTCCAACCACCGGGATCTCGGATCACCTCCCACCCCTCCCACTGTCCTCCTCTCTCGCCATCCTCCTTGCCTGACAAGCCCCCAGTGCGGCTCACTTCCCACCCTCTGCTCACCCTGCACTCGGACCAGGCAGCTGACCGTGGCTGGAGAAAACGGTCAAGGGCACCGAGCGCTCGTGCTTGAAGCTCCCCTCCGCCGCCCTTGGAGGCTCCACGCTCTTGTCTGCGGAGCTGACCTTCCACCCTCCCCTGTACCACTCGCCCATCATCAACACCACGCAGGGCAGAGGCTCTGTGGTCCCAGCCCCCGCGCCCGCAGCGCCTCCAACTGGGGGCCTGGGACCTTGTGCTGCGAGAAGTTCACTACAAATTTCTTCCCTTGTTTTCTTGAAACATTAAACACGCATTTTTACTTTCACAGAAATACATAATGTGAACCTGACACACGGGCCCCTTCAGTTCGGGACACTATCTCCTTTTCCTCCCACACCTCACGGCCCGTGGCGGCAACATCCGTGTGGACAAGCTGGTGCGCGGCCCTCCACGTTTCTGGGCTCGCCCACGCTCACGGAGGCAGCCCGACACACAGACGTATGTCCACGCTGGGGGGGGAGGGGGGGGCTGAAGCCACTGTCCGTTTAACAAGGATTCTGGGATGCGCTTTCCTCCCTCAGCATCCCCGGCCCCACGGCAGAGCTCCTGGGCCACGTTTCAGTGGCCACCCGCCACCCCGTGGTACGAACGAGTGGTACTTCACGTATCCACTGCCCTCCTGACGCTGCTCCCACTTTTTGTCACTGCCGATGGGCCACACCACCTCTCTAAACCTTTGTTTCCGCATGCCTAAGGTGGAGCTAATGATGACACTGACCTCAGGAGGGTGCTGGGGGAACGAAGCACGGGAACACGTGAGTAAAGGCCTTGGCAGTTTCTGGCATGTGGTCAGCCCTCAACTGCCTGCTGCTATTGTTACCATTTCCTGTCCTTCCCTCTGTACAACAGCCCCACTCAAAAGGCGCACAAACTGAGGCTCAAAGAGTTGCAGAGTTCCTCAATGTCATCCAGCTCCAAGTGGTGGGGCTTGGGTGTGAGCGGGGCCTGGGGTGGGGGGGGGGGGGGAGGGGGGGAAGGTAAGCCACAGAGATCTCCTGTTCCCACCTTACAAGGTGCCCAGCGTGTGGCAAACGCTTCATGAATAATTATCAAACAAAAGGCCTAGACAAACACCTAGTTTAATACCCGTTTTTTCGCTACCACGCGATCTATCCCGGAACACCGTTAGTAAAAGAAATACTCGGCCCAAACAAGGCAAGTCCACGCACAACCAGAAAATCCAAGCTGGGCCTCGCCACCCCTCTGTCTGACACACACGAGGACGGCTGCCCGGTCTGCACGCCAACTTACAGAATTTCGTAATTGCCAAGAACTTCCTTCGGGGGTGATTTGTTCCATTTACAGTCTGGAATCTCGCCATTAGGGACTGCGATATTGAGGGTGTCATTGATCAGGTTATACTTAAGGATTCGGTCGTTGGCGGTGCTGGAGGTGAGAGACGGGGACGCGTTCACCTACGAGAGGAAAGGAATCACTCTTCACGTGGATCACTGGCTCCTTTGGCATGAAAACACACACTGCAGAGGAAAACGCTGGCTACCGCGCCTTTTAGGCAAAATTGTCAATTCGTTCCGTTAACGTATAGTATCTTCAGGCACCTTGTATAGGAAGCGTTTTAGGATCCTACTTTCATCAGCTGTTAGACGAAATATAAAAAGTCAGACACAGTTTGGGATTACGACCTACAAATCGCTCAGCGCACAGACAAAAATGTTAAGTGAACGCAGATCATAAACCTAACCTCCGTGTCTACCTGTGTAGACACTCTACCCCAAGTATTGGAAGCCACTCAGAGCTTTGCTAGAATCAGCAAACCCAATTACCCTCAGTAGCATCGTGGGGTTGAAGTAAAAAGTCACGTGTCCCCGGGGCGCCTGGGTGGCTCAGTTGGTTAAGCGTCCGACTTCGGCTCGGGTCATGATCTCACGGTTCGTGGATTCAAGCCCCACGTCAGGCTCTGTGCTACCAGCTGGGAACCTGGAGCCTGCCTCTGATTCTGTGTCTCCCTCTCTCTCTGCCCCTCCCCTGCTCATTCTCTGTCTCTGTCTCTCTATCTCTCAAAAATAAATAATAAAGATTAAAAAAATTAAAAAAAAAAAAAAAGGAACGCGTCCCCTCCGCTCCGCCTTTTAAGCAATCTCTACACCCAATGTGGGGCTCAAACTCACAACCCCGAGATCAAGAGTCACGTGTTCTACCGAATGGGCCAGTCAGGCGTCCCCAGTGGGCCCCTTTTTGGCAAAGAGAGTAATACCTCACCAATAAAGCAATATTCTGACAAATGGAACCCATCTGATAAACGGAAGGTTAGTCCCCTGAGGCCTCTGAGGAGCTAAGCAACGTCAGGAGTCCTCAGGTTAAAATGCACGGACTGTGTGGAGAGTCCCACAGGCCCTCAGTCACCAGCTATTTACTCCACTTCAGGCACAGCTGTAATGACCTTGGTTAGCTGCTTCCTCAGGCCACGGCAGAGTGGAGGCAAAAACCTGCAAGTTACTCGGGTTTCTCCCAAACAGTCAGGCTGTGTCTTCGTGCTGCTGGTAGGGTATCCAACGTATACAGTCAAAGGGGCTGCATGAACCTCAGGCGCCCTTGAAATTACCACTGTAGCATATCATCATGCCCTAGTTATCGTAAATAGGCTACAATTAAGGTCTGTTATGTTACAAGGAGTATTCGTCATATTCCCAATTAAGGTCCTAGCTCATCAAGGAAAGCTTGACTGCCATTCAAGTGACTCGCTTTAAAATGGAGAAAAAGGGCTCTGTAGCGCAATGGGTAGCGCACTGAACTTCTGAAATGGAAAAACAGAGCAGGTAAACATTTTACCCACGCGTCTGTCGATCTCTCTACATATCTGTGTGTGTCTCTGCACACGCGGGTTGGGCAGCGTAAGAAGTAACCCGGGAAGAGCTATTTTGGAAGTTTGCTCTCTGATAACCTGACTCTTCCGGCAGCTTCCTGCAGGGGCGGCTCCCACTGTCCACCATCAGCAAACTTGTCCGACCTGCCCGTCTGTCCCCGTCACCTTCCAGAGCCTCACGTGCCCCGGCCCTGCCGCCTGGCCTGAGAGACGGGGCAGCGGCAGCCGGGAGGGCGACCGGCCACACGCGCTCCTGCGGGCGGTTACCTCAATCAGCCAGGGCTTCAGCTTGTCGTCGATGATGATGTCATAGCCATAGCACTCGAAGCAGTGTTTGTCGTTGTTCATCACCGGCTGTAAGACAGGAACTAGCGTCTTGTACAGCCAGCCTCGGGAGGGCCCGGCTGGGACCACCGCCCCGGGCACACAGCAGGTCACGGGGCAGGACCTCCTCGGGGTCCCGACGTGACGTGCGGGGTCTCACCACCGAGATCAGCGCTCCCCACCTCCACCCCCAGTGCCGCCTCCCATCCTTCCCCAGCTCCTCCCACAGGGCCCAGACTCGGAAACCTCCCTCGGCCTCTGAGGGCACTTCCTGAAGCGATTACTGGGTCTCCGGGTCTCACTCATCAGAGGCTTGATCAAAGCAACCATGTGTCTGCTGGCATGGGACTGTCCTCAGAGTGGACAGAAGCCCAGCTCCAGAGTCCAGGCCTGTGCAACCTCGTCACAGGCCCTTCTCAGGTCCTCAGGGATGCGGGGAGCCAGGCTATGAACCTCTGTTCTCTTTGACCAGCCAATCCGTTTACTAAAAATTTGGGGATTTTCTTTTTAATTTTTTTGTTCCATTTTTATTTTAAAAACTTTTAAATGTTTATTTATTTTTGAGAGAGAGAGACAGAGACAGAGCATGAGCGGGGAGGGGCAGAGAGAGGGAGACACAGAGTCCCAGGCAGGCTCCAGGCTCTGAGCCGTCAGCACAGAGCCCGACGCGGGGCTCGAACCCACAAACCACGAGATCCTGATCTGAGCTGAAGTCCGACGCTTAACCCACTGAGCCATCCGGGTGCCCCTCTTTTTAACTTTCAATTCCACTTTATAAACCGTTCTCCAGGTACATAAAAAACCCTGCCAGCCGCTCGCTTACAATGCAGGTCCCCAGGCCCCACCGAGGCTGCGTGGATGAAAACCTGTGGGAAGGCCTAGCAAGCAGCCATGTCACATACACCTGGGGACCCTGCTGTCCCCCACAGTGAGTAAAACCCACAGACACAGCAGTGAGGCCTTTTCACACATTAGCGGGCGTGTGGACTCTACTTCAAACGCTGGATCTAGAACCAAAAACTCCTGAGGGGGAGACAGGCCAGTCCAGCCTCACTCACTGGAGGAAAACTAGGCTGGGGGGGCAGAGGCTGGTTTCCCAGGGGAGTCAGCGGGCCCGCATCTCGCCGGGGAGTGGTCCTACCCCGGCCACTGCCCACACCACCGTCCCAGCAGCCTGTGCAGGACAGGAGGTTGCTAGCTCCCCCGGCCCCCACCCCACTGTCTCCCGGTTTCCCAGAGACGGCCTCCGAGGCTCAGAGGGGCTGGAGCTCCCTCCACGGGACGTGCCGCCTACTCTCCGGGCCGGGCCGAGCGCCCTCGGGTGTCACACCCACTGGGCCTGTCTGCTGGGAGCCCCCTCGGCAGGCCTGGGCCCCAACGCCTGTCCCCGCGCTTCCCCACTCCGGGGCCGGGCCTCCGTTTTGCTTCTGAGTCACGGGGTGATGAGCATCTGGGAGCCCACATGTGAAGCTCGGGGCACAGCCGCCCGCGCACCGGCGGCCTGCTGTTCATTCCTTCCCGTTCCCTCACACCTGCTTCGGCACAGCAAAACAAGACACCAGCGGGGACTGCGAGCCAGCCAACGAGGAGCACGCTTGGGGCAACAGGGAGGTGGGTTTCTAGCACCCCGACGTCCATGACCCCGCAGAGCGGGAGGCCCAAACTCGAGGAGGCCACCGCGAGTCCACCTCTGACCAGCAGCTTACGCCAAAACACGCCCCCTCGATCCGATGGCACGGACGGGCTGCAGCGGACACCGGCAGGACTCGCCTGGGCCGGCGGCTGCCGCGGAAGGCCCGGCACCCGGTACGCCCTGGGCGGCACCCGGCCGGAAGCTGGCCCCTCTCCCTCCGCCAAGCTGCCCCGGCCTCTGGCAGACGTGTGGCCATGCGGGAGGTGGGCCCGTAAGGACGCGTCTCCGTAGCCAAAGAACCAGCAGCCCTCCCCGCCCCACTCGGTGGCTCCCAGGCCCGACCCCCGCCCTTCTCTCACCGCCACGGCCTTCAGCGACTGCACGATGATCCAGTGGATCTCGTCGAACAGCTTGCCGGTCACCTCCTTGCCTCGGGTGCTCTCCAGGTACAGCCGCAGGTTGTTCACCGTCCACTTGCCCCCGTGGATGTGGTTGTAGTCCTCCTGGCGACGGGAAAGGACACGGGGCCCCAGGCAATGCACCCTGAGGACCCCAGCACTTGCTCTCTCACCCTAGAACGGTGCTGGGTGCTCCTGCCCCGTGAGGACCTGGACCTCCTATGCGGCGCTTGGTTTAAAATACCCACCTGTGGGCACCTGGGGGGCTCAGTCGGTTAAGTGCCAGACTTTGGCTCAGGCCGTGATCTCACAGTTCGTGAGTTCGAGCCCTGCGTCGGGCTCTGTGCTGATGGCTCGGAGCCTGGAGCCCGCTTGGGATTCTGTGTCTCCCTCGCTCTCTGCCCCTCCCCCGCTCATGCTCTCTCTCTCAAAAATTAAAAAAAAAATTTAAAAAATTAAAAAAAAAATACCCATCTCTGGGCGCCTGGGGGGCTCAGTCGGTTAAGTGCCCGACTCTTGGTTTCGGCTCAGGTCACGATCTCAGGATTCACGAGTTCGAGCCCCACATCAAGTTCTGTGCCAACAGTGCAGAACCTATTTGGGATTCCCTCTCCTTTCTCTCTGCCCCATCCCTGTCCCAGGTGTCGGGCTATGCTCTGCACCCAGGGACACTCGGGAGATGCAGCCATAGACTGCTTGACGTGTCAGCGTCCCGTGTAACATCTGTCCTTCGTGCGATTCTGAATCGGAGCCACGTGAGGCTACCAGCAAGTAGTCTCCTCAGAGGAAGGACTTCCTCACGTTAAAAAGCTAAGCATTTACCAACAGAACCGACAGGGACGGCACAGAGGCTTCTGGAACACTGCAACGATGCCAAGCTAAGGTCCTGCCTTCTGCTCTCTCCTTCCACGGGTTAAAAAAAAGTGACTTCTGTTTCTTATTGATGCAGCAGTGACTCAGCTGACTGGTGTCCTGAGAAGGCCCATCAAACGGAGCCCTCCCAATGTCAGTGTGGCCCTGCAATCCAAGCGGGGGTTGGGGCAGGCCAACATATTCTGCACTGTCCTCAGAGAAACCAAGAGGACTGGAGGCCGGTCACTGGCCACACCCACACCCACTGGCCACACCCACACCCAGGCCTCACTAACTTGGCTACAAAGGGCCTGATGTCATTGCTCAGCTTTCTCCAAACGGCTGCATCCCCTGAAAACTCATCTTCCCAATTCATTTTTTTTTCAAGATTTTATTTTATTTACATTTTTTTGATGTTTATTTATTTTTTGAGAGAGAGAGAGACTCAGAGTGTGATCGGGAGAGGGGCAGAGAGAGAGGGAGACACAGCATCCCAAGCAGGTTCCAGGCTCCGAGCGGTCAGCACAGAGCCCGACACGGGGCTCGAACCCACAAACCATGAGATCATGCCCTGAGCTGAAGTCGGACGCTTAACCGACTGAACCACCCAGGCACTCCAAGATTTTATTAAGTAATCTCTACACCCAACGTGGGGCTCGAACTTACAACCCGGAGATCAAGAGTCTCACACTCCACTTACCGAGCCGGCCAGGCGTCTCCGTTGTTCCAATTCTTCTGAATAAAGTTCTGGCCAAGCCATCCTTTCTCCTCTAATCTTGACCATGTAACAGTGATACTCTGAAGTTTGCTCTCAGGGAAACCCGAGGGACAGTGAACCAGGGTTGGCCTCACACAGAAGACCGTCAAGGCCCTCAGTAAATGGTGGCCATTGTCATTTCATTACCAGCAAGGTAATACCAGGGCTCTGTTTGCAGATGAGGAGGCCCAGGGAGGCCGTGTGACTTGCCCAAGTCACACAGAGAGAAGTGATAGATGGGGGACTGAGCCCATGCTGCTCTGAACAAACCCTTCAGTAGGTGACTCAGAAAAGCTTGGTTTGGGGGCGTCTAGCTGGCTCACTCGGAAGAGCATGCCACCCTTTTTTTAATATATTGTTTTTGATGTTTATTTTCGTAGGAGAGAGACACAGCCTGAGTGGGGGAGGGCCAGAGACAGAGATGGAGACACAGAATCCAAAGCAGGCTCCAGGTTCCAAGCTGTCAGCACAGAGACTGACCCGGGGCTCAAACCCACAAACTGCAAGATCGTGACCTAAGCCAAAGTTGAATGCTTAACCAACTGAGCCACCCAGGTGCCCCAAGAGCCTACAACTATTAATCTTGGGGTCACGTGAGCCCCCCAGTGGGCATAGAGATTACTAAAACAATTAACTTAAAAAAAAAGAGAGAGAAAGAAAGAAAAAGAAGCTTGTTTTCTATCAATGCTTACCCTCTTTCCACTCCAATTATACAAAAAGGACCAGGATACTCAAGGCCTCCAATCAAGCAAGATCCAAACAGAAGAGTCTTTCATAAAGAAATGAGACCTTCAGAACATTTTTGTTAGGACCAGATTAAAGCCCCAAAGCCCACACAGAACCGACAAGGTCCTGGGGCCTGGCCTCGCTGGCCTCACCAGGTACCTCTAACTCCACCACCCTCGGTCTGGGGGCTCCAGCCACCCCGGCCGTCTCTCAGCTCCTGCGACGCTCCTTCCTGCCACGGGATCCTGGCACAGGCTGTACCCTCTGCTAGAACGTTCCCTCCCCACCTCCACCCGGGTAACCCCTGCTTATACTTCAGGTCTCTGCTTGAGCATTTCTGCACACGGAAGCCTTCTCCGGCCACCTGGACCAGGGACTTCATTCCATGCTCTTCCGGATCTCTGCATCCCCTAGCTTGAGAGCATGCGGCTCAGTTTGTGATGACACATTGACTAGTGTGATTACTTGACGGCCGTCTTCCCCTACGGGCCAGGCTCCGTGAGTGGGGACCATCAACGTAGCCCTGGCACTCAGCACGAGACCAACCCAGACAGGTGCTCAGGGAGACTTTGCTGAACGAATGGCCACGCAGGAGCCCTCTCGTGAATCCTTCCGCCACCCCCACGAGGGGGTAACAGGATCTCCTTTCACAAATGGAGAAACCGAGGCTCCGAGAGTTCCAACGGACGTGCCCACGGCCACGGAACCAGAAGGGCTGATGTGCCAGATCCTTAAAGCTCCCACTCCTCACGAGTGCAAGGGCGTCTGGAATCCGGCTCCCAGACCCGCTTCGCCCGCGCACGCGAAAAGGAGAGAGAAACCCACAAAAGCAGCCCATTTCCGTACGCTCCAGGGAAGGGAGGCGCTCACCCCGTGCTTCTGGATGGCGACGTTGGTGAGATGAACAAACATGTTGTCCAGCTCGCTGGTGCTCGGGGTGTACTTCACCGTGCAGAAGCGGCAGAATCCAAGTTTATACCTGCGTGGGAATTGAGACCACTTCAGCACGCTGAGGAGAAGCACAGATAAGACCGAACACTTTGTTCTCTTACAAAAGCCGCTTTCTGGAGCATCTGGGGGACTCAGCCGGCCAGGCGTCCGACCTCAGCTCAGGTCAAGATCTCACGGTTCGCGGCTTCGAGCCCCACGTCGGGCTCTGTGCTGACCGCCCAGAGTCTGGAGCCTGCTTCGGGTCCTGTGTCTCCCTGCTCTCCCTGCCCCTCCCCTGCTCACGCCCTCTCTCTCTTTCTCTCATAAATAAGCGTTAAAAAAAATAATAATAGAAAGACCTGCTTTTTGATTCGGGCCGTTAAAAGAGCTGCTTTTTCATTTTTTACGGTTCTTTTCTTCGAACGGTCACGCTAAGGTACAATTCCTAGGCCACAGGACTCCCCCACCTAAAGCGTATGACGCAGTGGTTCTCGGTATACTGAGACTTGTGGGGCCGCTACCACGATCGAGAAACCCTGTGACCGCCAGCAGTCACCCCCCCACGCCGCTAATCTACTTTGTCTCTGAAGGGCTGCGTCTCGCGAGCTGCCGACCAACAAGACAAAACCCCAGCGACTCTCACATGTAACAGCGCAGTGGGCGGTACGTAGACACCAGCACGTACAAGCGCAGGTCAAACTTCCTCCCGCCGATCAGCAGCGGGTTGTTAATGTACAGGGAGATCACGTAGGCCTCCTTGGTGGACTGGGTCACAAACCTAAGGGCGGTGGAGACGGTCAATATTAGATGGCAGAGTTCAAAGGCCCCCGTCGCGTCGGGGGAGAAGACGGCGGTGAGCTGGTGTCCACGCGGGAGCCCCCAAGCCTGAGACCCCGCCCCAGAGGACGGTGCCAGCAGCACCCCCCCCCCCCGGGAACCCACCAGGGAAGTGCTCCCTGAGCCTGACCCACCTGGGGGCCGGCAACGTGCACTCAAACTTCAATGCTCCGCACAGGGAGGTGACCCTGCCACGCCCGGGAACGGTGAGCCACCAGCCCTCCGGGAGAGAACCACCTCCAGCATCTCTGTACAGTTCAGGACCCGCAGAGGCAGGGTGGGCCCCAGACAAAACCGCCTGGCCTGGTATCTCAGTTCTGGGGAGTCCTCGAACGCTGGGCAGAGACCTGACCTGACGCGGCCTCGCGCTACCCCTGCTACTGATCACAGACACTCCCGTGTTCGCCTGTCCCATCCCCGTCTTGCCCCCGTGATGGTGCTGCTACTGTCCCCAGTTTACCCAGGTGAAGCATGTAAGCGTCCACAAAACAAAAGGTACTCAGACGGTAAGTGTAGACAGGGATTCAGACCCACACACCCTGGGCCCTGATCTTAAGCAGGTGCACTCACGAAGATGTTTTGCTGTCCCGGGACCACTTTTTGATCTGCGAGAGCTTGTTGATCAAAAAGATGCCCTTTCCCTGGGCTTTGCCACAAGGTTTCATGATCCAGGTGCTGGAGGGGCTTTTCCTGAACTCCTCCACGAACAGGTTGTAGTCCGCGGGCAGCATGTAGGTGACCGGAACAAAGTCTGCAAGGTGAAAAAGAGGACGACGGCGGGTGAGCTGGCCCAACAGCGGCCACGGACGGAAACACACTGCCACGGCCTTTCCGGAGGCTGCTTCATGCCCTCTGCCCCAAGCCAGCGTCTGAAGATCAAGGCCCTGTGCCGTTCAGTTCCCGTACAATAACCTCATCGCCCGTGTGCTGAGCGCTTTACAAACCTGTAATGCCCACAGCAACCTGTTGTCATTCCCATTTATCAGATGAGGAAACGCAGGCCCAGAGAGATTGGTTATATAATTTTTCCCAGGTAGGTAAAAGGATTCTGGAACTATCCGGCAGGCCAGCCCACCAGATGGAACAGGGACACGCCGTTCCGCCTGGGAACCGCCAGATGCGGTAGCGACCGTGAATTCCAAAATGCAGCTTGCAGCTCACGCCGTTTCCCTCCATCCACACACCGGGGACACTCTCTCCCTCGCATGCACCACATTCCCTGGGCACCCATGGAAACTCAGATCCCAACGTGAGCGCCAGCCTGCCCATTCCAGACACACGTGGAATGAGAGAGGCGCCTGTCACAGCTGGCACGAACATGTTCACCCACCAAAGCCAGCAGTCGCCATCCCGGTAGCTCGTGTGACTAAGGAACTTCTAGGATTCACTTAACACACGAGCCCAGTGAAAAAGGCACAAACCCAGGTAGAGGTATTTCCCGTTTTCATCTTTTTCTGCCAGAGGACTCCCTTCTTTCTCCAGCTCCTTCCTGTATCTTTTAATATTCTTCACCATCAGATCCTTCCGGGTCAGTTCATAGTGGTTCGGAAAATGGTTGACTATTTGATCGTCCGAGAGCCGATAGCCAGCTTCGACACTAAAAACGTTTCGGATGGTTTGCACACTCATCCTAAAAGAGAAGCACAGAAGGGACGTGCAGGGCGAAAGCTCAGAGGAGGTCCCCGTGGTGGCAGTTCTCATTAAAGCTCGCGACCAGAAGGGCTGGCCTGTTCCCTGAGTCCCAGCACCCAGACCCGGAGATGCCCGGGCCACGGCGGCACAGCGTTGGGTCTGGTGACCGGCTGTGACCTGAACCTGAACTGAGGCAGGAGCAATTCTGAGTCCGTCTTACAGTGGACGGTGTCATTGCCCAGCACAGAAGAGCTACTCGATAAATGCTTACTGATGAATCAATGATACCATTGACTGCTGATTACAAACTAATGAAAAATGGCCTCCTTCAGACTCTAAAATCAGGAAAATCATTTACACAGTATTTGCACCCAAAGTCAAGAAGCACCCGGACCACAGGGCAGGGGCGCCTGGGTGGTGGCTCAGTCGGTTAAGCGTCAGACTCCTGGTTTTGGCTCAGGTCATGATCTCACAGTTCGTGGGTTTGAGCCCTGCTCTGGGCTGACAGTGCAGAGTCAGCTTGGGATTCTCTGTCCCTCTCTCTCTGCCCTTATCCCAGTTGCGTTGTCTCATCTCAAAACAAATAAATAAACTTAAAAAAAAATCACAGGGTGATTTAAGGGCTCTGGGTCATATTCTTGTAGAAACCGATGACAGGCCAGCACCCGAGTAAATGAGGACGGTTGAAAAAGAAATTGATTCCCTCTAATCCTCTAAGAAACCCAGCCTCCCGGACACACCCCTCCACCCTACCAGCCCCTCAGAGAGGCAGGGAGGGAGGGAGGGAGCAGGAAGGACTGGACTGGCACTCACAAGGGAGCCACAGGCAAGGCAGGCTGGCATGGCTTCTTGCTCTAGGCCCCCACCCCACCCCACCCCGGGCACCAACCTACAGAGGGCCCCAAGCACCCAAAGGGTCTCTTCTGAGTCTATGATCATTAGAATGATGGGGGAGTTTTCAAACTTTTAATTATGAAAGAGCTCAACCACAAGCAAAAGCAGAGAGGAAAGTGTAAGAGGATCCATTGCTCGCTTTAGGGGCTGCAACCAGGCACCCGGTCTTGTCTTGATTGTACCCCACCTGCGCCCCACGGCACTGGCTTATTTGGAAGCAATTCCCAGACACGAGATTCCAACCAAAATGCTCCTGTAAGAATGTCTAACAGTTACGGACTTCTTAATATATGATATCCTACTGGGGCGCCTGGGTGGCTCAGTCGGTTGAGCATCCGACTTCAGCTCAGGTCATGACCTCGTGGTTCATGAGTTCGAGCCCCACGTTGGGCTCTGTGCTGATGGCTCAGAGCTTGGAACCTGCTTCGGATTCTGTGTCTCTTTCTCTCTGCTCCTCCCCCACCTGTGCTCTGTCTCTCAAAAATAAATAAATGTTAAAAAAAATTTTTAAAGAGAGATACGATATCCTACTTCATACTGCTGTCACAACTAAAAACAAGCAGCAGTGACTTCTGGATATCATCAAATATTAATCAGTGTTCATATTTCCCAAGTCATCTGATAAGTATTTTTAGAGCTTGTACAGATAAGGGTCAGGCCTTCTGATGAGTTGTTCTCTCTCTCCCGACTCGTTTAACCTACAGTCTCCCTAGGCCGTCTGTTTCTGGAGGACCCTGGGCCACTTGCCTTCTAGGTCCTCACACGCTTCTTCCTCAGCCCAGTGCCCTGGCTCCCGTGCCGCCTGTCAATCAGGAGTCAGACCGCAAGGCCTGGGGAGCTGCAGGTCCATTTGGGGCACACCTACAACTGGGCCCGCCACGCCGAAGTGCTCGTCAGCCCTGAGCTCAGCGGCTCCCATACTGGGCGGGCCTAGACCCTTAGGTCATCAGGGGAGACGAGATGGTGGACCCTCTGCTTTCATTTCTTCTTCATGTGTTAGCAGGAATATTTCTACAGGGAGAAATGTCCCTTCATCAACAATCTGGATACCCCAAAACATAGCTCACAGAGGAAAGACTAACTAAATGCTTGATTCTTGCCCTTTATTTATCGGTTTTCAAGATAATGAGCTGCTTCCCTACCACTCTCGGGTATGTGATGATATATTCTGGGTACCTCTTACTGCAAAGCAAGGTGCCTGGTGTTAGCAACTTAAGACAACAACCATTGGATCAGATCTTGTGGTTTTGTGGACCAAAACATTTTTTTTAATTTTTTAATCTATTTATTGAAAGACAGAGAGAGAGAAAATGCGTAAGCGGGGAAAAGACAAAGAGAAAGGAACGAGAGAGAGAATCCCAAGCAGGCTCTGAGCTGTCAGCGCAGAGCTTGACGTGGGCCTCGAGCCCACAAACCGCGAGATCATGACATGAGCCGAAGTTGGATGCTCAACCCACTGAACCACCCAGGTGTCCCTGTGGACCAAAATTTTGGGTAGGGCTCAGGCGAGCCTGCCTCTGCTCCATGTGGCACGGACCGAGTCCACTCGGTGGTATTCGGCCAGCGGATGACCCCATTTGGAGGGTCCAAGAAGGCGTCGTTCGTATGTTTGGCACCTTGGTGGGCACGGCTGGAAGGCCAGGAGTGGCTGTAACTATCACACACAACACAGCTCCTCCAGCCAGAGAGGCCCCACCTGGCAGCTTGGGGCTCCCGCAGACAGTTCCCATAAAGGAAGGGGAAGCTGCTAGTTTTTAAGGCCTGGGCCCAGACCCGTCTCACCTCGGCTCTGGTTTGGCCAAAAAAGAGGCAGAAGCGATGGCGTGTCGCTTCTGAGACTAGCGCCGAGAGGCCTTGAGAGCTTCCTCCCTCCCTCCTGGACCCCAGCCGCCCCAGGAGGGCAAGCCCAAGCCAGCTGGCTGGAGGGCCACGAGAGATCTGTGGTGAGAAGCCACTGTGGTCCTGGCCAACGGCATCCAAGACCAGACAAGCCCCAGCTGGACCCCCCAGGTGACAGCAGGCGAAGCCCAGGCAGGATCAGCTAAGTCCTGCTGGACCAAAGGAACCGACCGGCCAAACCGATAAATGCGCGTGCTGTGCAAATGGTTGTTCCAAGCCTTAAGTTCTGTGGTGTTTGTCACACGCCATCAATCTGGCAATCGGTGATTAATGCATCTCCCTAGCGCAGCCCTGACTCCCATGTTTCACGTGCTCCTACTTCCTGCCCTATACTCAAGCTGTGATCAGAACACAGATACAGTTTCATAATATGTTTGTCTTCAGATTTTTTGTTATACGATTTTCCAAATTGCTTTATAATTGTCCTAATTATTTTCATGGCTGCACCGTAATCCACTCGGTTAACTTGGTTACCTTTTCCTAACCACTTGACATTTAGTTGTTTCCGGTATTTTACCCTAACCAATTTTTAAGACTCGATGGTACACAGAGTGCTTAGGACAGGAGCTCTTAAGGCACCAAAGAGCCAAAGTTACACAGTTCCGCTCTTTTCTCTCTCCGTCTTGTGAAGACTGGCTCCAAGATGCTTCTTCCGTGGTAGGAAGCAGGGAGTCGCTCGACGCCCTCCCCAGCGCCGATTAATTACCCAGAGAAGCCAAAAGGGCTCGCTGAGAACTGGCTAAGCCCATGGCACAGAGCCGTGGGACGCAGTAAGTACCAAACTCTCTTCTTTCAGAGCTCCCATGAAGCAGGGCTCAGGCTACATTTTTTCGCTCTACCTTCGAGGACGTGAACCCGATGCCAAAGCCCACACAGGGGCTGCACTTCTCTACCAGCCTCTCCCCGTCTGCATTCCATGCTCCCCCCGGGGAAACTGGATCGTGGTTTAAAGCACAGGTATCCTCAGCTGCCAGGGGAGCAGAGAAAGGGTCATCCCTGCAGTGGCTGCTGGAGATGGAAGCGGGCTGCCAGTCTACACCGCACCTGGGCCAGGGCCGGGCTCTGGGAGGCTGGGACCAGCCAGACAAGGTCCTCACTGTCATCGGGTTCACAGCAGCGCAGAAAGACGGGACAGGCGGGGAAATCCCAAATCCTGGCACGCGGCACTTGCTGCACAGCACTGAGGGGAGCCGTCTGGGAGGCTGGAGGGGCACAGGCGGCTTCTAGGGCAGGAGGCTCGAGGAGTGGTGTGCGAAGGCCAGCAACCGCTGGCCGCTATCACATGCCACACGCTCTGTGCTTTACTGACTCATTCAGGCTTCCGACAGCTGTGTTTGAAGGGAAAGGTCAAGTCCCCTGCTAAGGGCCACACAGGCAGCAGCGGGGGAGCCAGGGTGTAAAGCCAGGCACGACTTGGCTCCAGCGTCTGGACGTCTAACCGCCGGATGCGTGGCGCCCCCAAAGGATGGGCTGAGGAGGCAGAGAGCACCGGCCGTCTTAGCGGGTCGGCAGGGGAAAGCGTGCCGGCGGCTGCACTGGGGCGTGGGGGGGAAGGAAGTGGCTGGAACAGCAGGGAGCGGGTCTCAGGGAGTGGGGGACGCATAGGGTAAAAAGGCCTCCGGAGACCCACCAGCTCCCCTCCCTCAAAGGTTCGCTCAGGGCTCCGGGCCCGGGAGCTGCGGAGGATGGCGCCCAGCAGAGATGACCACGGATCTGTGTTCGGGCGCACGACCCTGCCAGAGGGTGGAGGCAGGCCTGCGGCAGGGAGCACACCAGGCCCGGACAAGGGAGGACACGGGACCTCAGCCCACGAGGAGGGGGAGGCGGGGCGGGGGCAGGAGGCGAGGACAGCTCCCAGCTTTCTGGCTGGAAGGAGCACCACCGGGGAGTCAACACCAAACACACTGCTCTCCCGTTCGTGCGTCTCCCTCGCTTTTCGGTTGTTGTTACCCAGTCCAGCCAGCGCCCTCTGCCCTGCGAGAGGAAGCAAGGGAGGCACAGGCCCCTCCCCCGCGGTCCCCTTCCCCAGCGCCGGGCAATAAGGCACTGACTGGCACCGCCGGGAGGGGCCTCTGGCTTCTCACCTGACCCCCCACGGGACTCGCCAGGCCGGGTCGTGCAGAACCGTCCTGGGACTTCGGACGTCAGGCTGGTAAACGGGAGTGTGAGGGCACCCCGCAACGCATGCTCCCAAAGAACTTGGGATGAAAGATGTGTCGGGGGGGGGGGGGCCGCCCCTCTGAGAACACAGCCTGTGCCTGGGCTACCGCCATTCACAAGACTGGTAAGAAGCCTTCAGGGGCGCCTGCGCGGCTGAGTCAGTTGAGCGACTCTTGATTTCCGCTCAGGTCATGATCTCGCGGTTTGTGAGACCGAGCCCTAGGGTCGGGCTCCATGCTGACAGCGCACAGCCGGCTTGGGATTCTCTCTCTCCCTCTGTCTCTCCCCCGTGCGCACCTGTGCACGCTCTCTCTCAAAAATAAATGAAAGTAAGTGTTAAAAAAGAAAAAAGCAGGCTTCGGAAAAACAACCAAATCCTGCTTTTCGTACGTACCAGTAGAAGTTCCAGTCCTCGTTTTCTGTCACTTGGACCCATCCTCTCTTTTCAAAGTTATTTATCAGCACCGACTTCTCGATATCAGTGACCCATTTCACTTTCCCTGCCATAATCCTGGAAGAAGTCAACTTGTTAGAGCTTCGAAACGGCAGTGGCCACAAGCTTCCCCTTCGCACACCCCAAGTTCGACCTGCTGGGCAGTGGTTCTCAGCCTGGGGCCACTGTGGCCCCCAGGGGACATCTGGTTGCGTCTTTTTTTTTTTTTTTTTAAGTTTATCTATGGATTTTGAGAGAGAGAGAGAGAGAGAGAGAGAGAGCAGGGGAGGGGCAGAGAGAGAGTGAGAGAGAGAGAATCCCAAGCAGGCTCCACACTGTCAGTGCAGAGCCCGATGCGGGGCTCAAACCCACGAACCTCAAGATCATGACCTGAACTGACATCAAGAGTCGGATGCTTAACCGAGTGAGCCAGCCAGGCGCCTCTGGCCTCGTCTTTTGTTGTCACAGCTGGGGGCAGGGAGGCTTCTGGCATCTAGTGAGTAGAGGCCAGGGTGTTGCCCAATACCCTGCAGTGGACAGGACCCCCCTCCTCCCTCGCCCCCCCCCGCCCCAAAGCAAGTCCCCCAGGCCAAAATGTCAACTGGGCCAAGACTAAGAGATCCTGGCCTAAGCGGGGGAGAAAGACAGCAATCGGATAATCGCCACCCAGTGTACATCACGAGGCACGAGGCAGGGACAGCACTGGGGCTGTGAGAGCCATGGCAGGAGCTGCCCATCAGGGTGGCTGGGGAGAACCACCCTGAGCAGGAGGCCCTGGAGCTGACTTCCAAAGGGTGGGAGAGAGCACCTAACCCAGCGTGAGCACCCCCAGCGCCCCCAGCGCTCCCTGCCTCCTCCCCTGCCCCGCTCCAATTCACTCTCTGTAAGTGCCGGTGACGCTTACGTGTTTATCTGACCCCATCACTCCCGTCTACCAGTCTCCGTGGCTCCCCAGTGAGCTTAAGATACGCAGACCCCTGCCCCTCACCCGCTTCTCCTTCCCCTGCTGTGTTCTCACCACACTGGACTGCTCTGCCCACACTCCACCCCGGGACCTTGGCACATGCTGGTTGTCTCTGCCTGCAGCACTCTCCCTCCCTCTCAGCCTGGCTAAGCTGCTGCCCACTCGCCTGCCAGCATTAGTGAATGTCACCTCCTCCACAAGGCCTCCCTGACGCCGGGTACACAGGCACACAGCCCCTCAGCACTCCTGCAGCTCTGTCCCAGCTAGAGGGCAAGGGGGCCGGCCTTCTTCCTCGCTGCTTTGTGCCCAGGGCCTAGCTCCATTCAGACTGACCGACTATGGCCCCAGGCCTGTCAGTACCACGGTGTGACTTGGACAAAGTTAAAAGGTGGGCACCCAGGTCTGTGCTTGCTTTTGGAGAGGGAAAGAGAAGGCGCTCCCGTGGGGCTGTCACACGAAATCAGCCCACTGCCTCCTCACCTGCCAGCAATGGCGGTGTCAGAGGAGGGACTGTGGTAAGAGCGCGGGCTCTAGGGCTTGAGTCGGAGGCCCAGTTCTGACACTCACTTGCTGTGTGACTCTGGACAAGTTACTTAACCTCTCTGAACTTCTGTTTCCTTAGGCGTAAAATAAGAGGAACAACAGCAACCACCCATCTCACGGGGTTATAGTAAGGATTAACTGAACGAACACGTTAAGGCACTGAGAACAGGGCGCTCGAGAAATATCTGGTGTTATGAGTGTCATCGTCCCCCTTACGGGTAAGGAAGCTGAAGCTCAAAGATTAAGAACCCGTATGAGAATCAGACTGAACGCTGGGGCGCCCGGGTGGCTCAGTCGGTTTAGCGTCTGACTCTGGCTCAGGTCATGATCTTGCGGTTCGTGAATTTGAGCCCCACGTCGGGCCCTGTGCTGACAGCTCAGAGCCTGGAGCCTGCTTCGGATTCTGTGTCCCCCTCTCTCTCCGCACCCCGCCCCTGCTTGCACTCTGTCTCTCTCTCTCAAAAATGAATAAACATTAAAAAAAACTGAGGGGCACCTGAGTGGCTCAGTCGGTTAAGTGTCCGACTTTGGCTCAGATCGTGATCTCATGGTTCATGGGTTTGAGCCCCGCGTCGGGCTCTGTGCTCACAGCTCAAAGTCTGGAGCCTGCTTCGGATTCTGTGTCTCCCTCTCTCTCCGATCCTCCCATGCTCACGCTCTGTCTGTCTCTCTCTCTCTCAAAAATAAATAAACATTAAAAAATTAAAAAAAAAAAAAAGAATCAGACTGAACGGGGCGCCTGTGTGGCTCAGTCGGTTAAGCATCTGACTCTTGATTTCGGCTCAGGCCATGATCTCATGGTTCGTGAGATCGAGCCAGCACAGAGCCAGCTTGAGGCTCTCTCTCTGCCCCTCCCCCACTCGTGCCTGTGGGTGCCCACGTTCGCTCTCACACGCTCTTTCAAAATAAATAAATCAACATTAAACAAAAATCATACTGAACGGACCCATGGGGCCCTGATTTGAATTGAGGGTGACCCGACTCTGAAGCACCACCTCTTTTCACACAGTCCTCTGCCTCTCTGGCCTTCATTAGGATGATGCCAGTGGCCATGGGGTCAAGGTAATCGTCCTCTGTGAGCCAGAAGGTGCCATATGACAACGTAAGGCTGTTAACGTGGAGAGTCAGCAGTCACCGCACAGAAACGACGGTAGGGGCAGCACGGGAGCCAGATCCCCACGGCTGTTACCCCGCACCCCTCACCGAGCAAACTCCCCACAGTGTCAACACCCACAGTGGAGCCTGGGAGCCCGGTTCCCCACTTGAGCGCGGCCTCTAGAGCCTGCGTCCCTGCCCAATCCGGCTCCAGCTCTGCTCTGCCCCCTCCAGTCCGACGGCAGACTCCAGGCCGGAAACGCCCACATCACCACCACCACCACCAGCAGGGGCGAAGTCCTACATCTCAGTGTGCCCCTGCCCCCTGGCACAGGTGCTGACCCACCCCGGGTGACCCAGCACAGTGCCTGATACCTGCCCTGTGCTTTAACAGTCAGCAAATACTTCCGGGGGGCCCGGGCGGGGGGAAGGGGGGAGTTGTCCTGGGTGGCTTAGTCGGTTAAGCATCCGCCTCTTGATTTCCGCTCAGATCACGATCTCGCAGTTAGTGAGATCGAGCCCCACGTCGGGCTCGGTGCTGACAGTGCGGAGCCTGCTTGGGATTCTCTCTCCCTCTCTCCCTCTGCCCCTCCCCTGCTCATGCTCTCTCTCTCTCATACTCTCTCAAAAATAATAAGTAAACATTTAAAGAAAATGCTTCCCAGGCACGATCCCCAAAACCAATAAGGCAGACAGGACAGATATTCTCATCCTCACTTTACTGAGCAAGGACACGGAGCCTTCAAGGGGAGGTTTTCTTGGTGCGCCCCCGCCCCCCGCCCCCGGCTCCCCCTTTCCATCGTGTGGACAACGGGTGCTAAGGAAAACCAATTGCTCAGGCCGGACCCACCATAGGTACTTATGGAGCCAACAGGAACGTCCAATTTCTCTCCTTCAGTGACTCGTGCTGCGGGTTCTTACCTAAAACAAAACGAACACGCAGACAAAATGTACACAGCACAAGACCGAGAGACAGAGAACACCGCAAGCCCGAGCCTCGCCACGGTATCCGGGACATACGTCTTCTGCCGAACAAGGGCACGCCGCCAGATGCTTCGGGCCTCACTGTGCTAAGTATCTCTGAATTCTATTACTTTCTGGCTCCCACGGCCTCGTTGAGCTGCCGTGACACTCCTTCATTTCGCGCACCCCTGCTTGGGCGAAACACCACCACCTCCCCGCCGCTGCTCCGGATCCAGCTCCGCCAATCACACAAGGCGCGGTCCAAAGGCCGCCTCCCCCAGGGAGCCACGCTGGTCACCTTTTCCCTCCACCAAACCTCCTGTATCCCTCTCCTGGGATACAGTCGGCACACAGAACTTCCTGGCTTGTGTTTTAGTTCTCTGAGTACGTTCCTTCTAGAAGTGTGTGAGGTGAGGGCTCTCTCAGTCACCTGTTTCCTTCTCATCCCACCGATTCTTTCTAGGTTCAGGTGGGAGCCTTTGCAACAGAGCTCACAGTCCCTTTGGCCGGCCCCATTATCTCCAGATGGCGGGCTCAGTCGGTGAAACATGCGACTCTTAATCTCCAGCTTATGAGTTCAAGCCCCACACTGCGTGTAGAGATTACTTGAAAAAAAAAGAAGGAGGAGGAGGAGGAGGAGGAGGAGGGGTGCCTGGGCGGTCCAGTCAGTCAAGGGTCTGACTCTTGGTTTCAGCTCAGGTCACGATCTCACAGTTTGCGAGTTCGAGCCCCACGTCGGGCCCGGTGCTGACAGTGCAGAGCCTGCTTGGGATTCTCTCTCTCCCTCTCTCTCTGCCACCACCCCGCTCACTCTCTCGGTCTCTCTCTCTCAAAAATAAATAAACTTAAAAAAAAAATTAACAACAACAAAAAAGGAGATCTGGACACAGACACGGGCAGAGAACGCCATGTGACGACACAGGGTCGTACAGACACACGGGGAAGACGGTCACGGGAACATGAAGGCAGAGATGACAGCGATGCTGCCACAAGCCAAGAAAAGTCTGGGTCCGCCAGAGGCCGGAAGAGGCGAGGAACCCGCCCCAGATTCTTCAGAGAGACCGTGGCTCCACCGACACCTTGACTTCAGACTTCTCACCTCCCTGAGCCACCCACTTCGTGGCCCTTTGGCAGTACGGCCCTCGGAAACTTACGCAAAATAGAACCGTCCCAGACACGAGGAGACGGAGAAGAAACTTCCACCCATAAAGGGCTTTAAATACGCATGTGGGAGCAAGAGCACAGCACAGTGATGGGCGACAGGGCAGACCAGTTATTGACGGTTAAAAAGGAAGAGAAAGAAACGAACTCAGGCCACCTCTCCTTTAAAGACGCACAGGATTTCTTTTCAGAAATGCACCGAACCAGCACGGTCACCACCACGGAGAACCAACGATGAGGCAGCCTGGGAGGGGCCAGAGGACCGGATGGCCGGTTCCTCTGCACCTGAACCCTGGAGACGGTTCCTTTCCGGTGCTCGCACGCCCACGGGTGCTCACTAGTTCTCTTGGGGCCTCGGCACCCCCCCGCCAAAACGGGAATGAAAGCCACAGGTCCTTCATGGTATGGCGGGGGTCACGGCACGGTCTGCAGGTGTGGGCCTGGCACACCACAGGGACTCCGGTTCACTGGGTTGGAAACGAGTGCCTCGGCTCTCCCTGATTCGGCCCTGCACACTCCTCCACTCCGCCCCACCTGCAGTGGGCCCACCGGGCCCTTGGCTGGGTACTGGCGACCCTCCCCACCCTCTCGGGGTCGGTAATTGCATTTGTATGCTATCACTAGAAACAACGGCTACCATTCACGGAACACCAGGACCCACGGGGCACAGAGCTGGGCAGTTTGCACCCGCTCTTCTCTACCACGGGTACCATTCGGGCTGCCGGGGGGCAGGTGTTCTTCCCATTTATAAGATGGGGACAGTGGGGCTCCGAGAGTAACGGGCAGAGCACAGATAGCAGCCTGAGGACACCCACACTCGCCTCCCTCCCACAGTGTCGACTGTCAGTTCACCCACAGGGCCGGGGGTGGGCCGATTCGTCTCTGTCCCCCTAGCACCCAGCCGGGGCCAGGCACAGTGAAGGGGGCTCGAAATGGTCTGCGGAACAGGCGAAGGAGCCAGCTGGCCAATCCGCCCCTGGCACAGAAGCTGGGGCTGCCTGCTTCCCAACCCTAAGAAATACTAAGCCCTTTGCCTTAGAAAAATCAAGAAATACCTGACGTCAGATGGTCTTCCTGTTACTTCCTCCTAGAAAGGGGGAAAAAAAAAAAAAAAAAAAAAAGCTAGGTTAACAGTAGCCTGCAATGAACTTGATAGGTCACCTCTCTAGTGGTTCCCAGGAACTGCGCGTTAAAGCCGTTCGGTCTGCTGCTTTTCAAACTGAACATCAGAAAACCTAACCCAGAAAAACAGTCAGTTGTGTGCTGATCTCTACGCTGACCGTGCTCGAAATCATAGCGGACTGTGGTCACCTCCTAAGGTACGTCAGCCAGGCAAAGGCATTCGGAAACCAGGCGGTTGGCAATTTTCAGAACACGACGTGGGACCCACTCCTGGGGCCAGTGGGTGGGACGTTCGTAAGCTTGAGGACAGGCTGGCACTAGGGAAGCCTAGCTTCTTTCTCACCCACCCCCTCAGCACCGACAGCCGCTCTGTGCTGGGTCCATGACGGGAGGCACAAAGCTGCCTGGGACGAGGTACCTGTGGACGGTGTTGATCCAGGGAGGCAAGAAACACACCCCATCCGCTGAGGGCCCCCCATCCGCTGAGGGCCCCAGCGGCAAAGTACGTTGGCACCCCAACAAAGCTCAACTGTGGTCCTGAGGGGGAAGTAGCTACTAATTCATCCAGCAGCAAATCGTGCCAGCTCTACTCCAGAAGATTCCAGATCTGTCTATGCCTCTCCCCAGCGTCCCCGTAATCCCAGATGACCATGGCAGGCTCCCACTGGCTTCCCTAGTGCCGGCCGCACCAACGCACCCATTCTCCGCCGGGCAGCAGACTGACCCCTTTCACACGCACCAAGCAAATCGCGTCACCCTGCCCCTAAGCCTCCAGGGGCTTCCAGAATAAAGCACCCAGAACAAAGATGTCAGTCTGCCGATGACTTGCAAGGCGGGCCCCATGAAATCTAGGTTTCCCGTCACCTCTCGGGCCTCGTCTCCAGCACCCTCCCCACGCGCCAGCTCTCTTCAGCTGCTCACACCCACCAAGCCACATCCTGTTTTGAGGCTTTGCTCTTCCCCCTGCATCTGGCCCCTTCGCAAAGGTCAACCTTTCCGAGTGGCCTTCCCAATTCCCAACCACGCACCACGCTGTCGCTTTGCTTCCCGGTGGCACCCCGGCTGTGCCCAATCGTTCGGTCCGGGGCCAACTCAAAGCATGGCCCGTGAACCGGCAGCAGCCGCACCACCAGGAGCTTGTTAGAAAGACACACTCCTGAGCTTCCCCCAACCCCTACACCGACGCACACGCTCAGACTCTCTGGGGGTGGGGCCCAGGAATCTGTATCTTAATAACCTCTCAGGTGAGATTCCTACCCCTGCCCAAGTTTGAAAAGAACTGGTCTAGGGGCGCCTGATGGCTCAGTCGGTTGAGTGTCTGACTTCAGCTCAGGTCGTGATCTCATGGTGTGTGGGTTTGAGCCCCGCGTCAGGCTCTCCGCACTGTCAGCACAGAGCCTGCTTCTGAACCTCTGTCCCTCTCTCCCTGCCCCTCCCCTGCTGGTTCTCTCTCTCAAAACTTACCCAATAAGCATTTTACAAGAATCTGCAAAAAGAACCGGTCTAGTTCATGAACTCGGTTCCCCGGTGACTCCCTATCTTTGACACACATATCTCCCACCAGGAGAGCAGACATGTTGTTCCGCATTATTGCCTACTGAATCCCCTGCGTCCAGAATAGTGTCTAAAAACAGCAGGTGCTCAATCAATATTTGACAAATTAACTAAAATAAGGATGGGAATTCCCTCCGCACACCATCAAACAAGTGCCGTCCGCGCCAAGTAGAGAACGAGGCACGGCCCAGCCCCACAGGGGCCGTCAGCCCTGCAGGGGACAGAAAACCAGTAAAAGCACCCACAGATTCCACAGCTTTTCCAGGGGCCTGAAGCAGACCTGGAGTTGGGCGGATTTCGGCTGAGCGAGAGAACATCTCGGGGAATAGCTGGACCTACAACCCCAGGAGGACAGAACTTTGCCAAAAGGCCTTTCACATGCCGGAGTTATGACTACATCCAGTTACAGCCAGGACAGCCATTCAGGAGAAAAAGCAGACAGAGGGAAGAACTTCCATTCATAGAGTCACTGCACTTTTCTGGGTCCAGCCATAAAAAAAAATAACAACAACAACAACACAAGCCGGAGCCCTCTCTGTCTCCATCCCCGCGCCCCCCCCCCCCAAACACTCTGGTCAGTATCACTTTCCACAAAGTCCCAACGAGCCCAGGATTCTAAGGGCATTTCGATTCCTTTCCGGCCAGTCTTCCTTGAGAAGGAAAAAAAAAAAAAAAAAGCCACCCTTAAAGAAAACAATAGCTCATCGTGAAAAACAAGGACTTTCCGCACCGCTGTATGGCCACCATCCATGTCCACACCCCACCGGGAGGCAGTGCCAGCCTCCACAGCAACTACTCAGCACTATTGGTAATCCCCTGGGCACAGGAGCAAGACCAACCTTTCAGCGCTGCCACAAGCCAGCACTGAAATGTGCTCATTAAACGTTTTCGTGAACAAAGAACCTCTCTGCAAACCGTAAACTGCTTACAATAGGGATACTTTTACTTCTCGAACGAATGCCCTGTAATGCCCCAGCTACTCTACGGGGTGCATGGCTACCTACCCACTCACTCCCACTCCCTTTGAGTGATGAGGGCACGGGGAGGGGCAGTGCCTAGGTCCCATCCCTCAGAGAAGGGCGAGCAGGGCGGGGGACACGAATCTGTCTCCAGACCACAGCTGCCGCCACAGGTACACCGCGCCCTGCAAAAGATGCCGAGAGAAACGATACAGACTGCAAATGAATGGGAAAAGCCCAGGAACGATGAAATGCGGGGATAACCAATATGAAGAAGAATGCAATTACAACGAGCGGGCAGCACAAGGAAAGTCACAGGAACTCGGAGGAAAAACAGGGGCACAGTGATCGGCGCAGGCTTCCCGGGGGCCGCAGGTCCGGCAAGCAGCATCTAAACCACACGGTCGCGGCCGCGTAGACCCGGGCGCCCACGCTCGCTCGCGCATGCGCACCCGCCCACCAGGAGCGGCCACACCCTCGTCCGGGGAGGCGGCGGCCTCCGCGGCGGGACCTCACCTGCGGGACCTCACCGGGCAGGGCGGCCCCGCGCCGGGCCCCGGCCCCGCCTCCAGCCCCACTCCGGCGCCGGCAGCAGGACGCCGCTCGCCGCCCCGCGGACCGGCCCGCCGCGCGCCGCGCTCTACTTCCGGGGCGGCGCTCTGGCAACCGAAGACGCGGCCGCTGGCGCCGCGACTGCTTCCGGGGTCACATTTTCCCGGCCGCTCCCTAGGCCCCCCGCCCGCCGCGCCCTCGGCGGAGATCCTAGAAGAGCCGGCCCTCCATCCCCGGGAACCTCGCAGCCTTCAGGACCCAGGAATGAGGTTGAGAAGGGTCGGGGCGCGAGGTGGAGCCTGACAGTGGGAGGCAGAGCCGTGGGGTGATTAGGGCCCGGGGTCCGGTCCCCTCGGCTGCTCAGCTAACGTGTGTGTGCGCTTGGCGCTGTCGGTAGTGCCTCCCTTGGCGGGTGCGTTGTCCTTAGGTGACATGTGCTCGGCACGTAATTATCAGTACGGGGCCTACTCAAAGGTCACCTCATTTGTGAAATGTCCCCTGAGCGTGGCGCAGGTCTAGTTTCTCTAACTGTATTTTGTAAACTCTATTAGGAAGAGGCAGCTTGGCCCAGTGAGAAATTTAAAACCAGAGCCAGACCTGGATTGAGCCCTCGCTCCAAAGTCCACTAGCTTATGTGGCTTTCGGCAGGTCACTTCCCTTATCTGACCTTCAGTTTTCCTGTCTATAGCCGGAAAGAAGAAAAGCAGAATTTTATGTCCCTGCTCTGATACATTCTAGCTGTTTGGGCACAGGCACCTCCGATCCTCTCCATTACAATTTCTCCCCAGAGAAATCTCCGTCTCTTAGGGGTGGAAGAGATTTTAAATTCCTGGTGCATGGCACCTAGGAAGTCGCATCACTTGGCTTCCCACATCCTCCTGTCTTATGCAGCATACGTGCCATTCCAGATGCATCACCAGCAGCCAAATACTAGAAGGCTTGGCGACAGCCAATGGAAGGAGACCAACATCACAGGGAAGAGCGAATAGTATATTAAAAAAAAAAAAAAAAAAAGTTGTGGCCAATATGAAAAATTAACTGGGAGCTAGGTGATCCCAGAGAGAAAAGACAAACTGAGATCACGTAAACGTAGTTTAAAAAGTTTTCAAGGCCTAGGGGCTCCTGGGTGGCTCAGTCTGTTAAGCGTCCAAATCTTGGTTTCACTTCAGGTCATGATCTCACTAGTTCGTGAGTTCAAGCCCCACATTGGGCTCTATGCTGGTAGCACAGAGCCTGCTTGGGATTCTCTCTTCTCTCTCTGCACCTCCCTGGCTCTCTCTACCTCAAAATAAATAAGCTTTTTAAAAAATGTATTTAGGAGTACCTGGTGGTTCGGTCGGTGAAGCATCCAACTTTAGCTCAGGTCATGATCGCACATGGTCAGTGAGTTGGAGCCCCACGTAGGGCTTTGTGCTGACAGCTCAGCTATCCGGAGCCTGTTTCCGACTGTGTGTCTCCCTCTCTCTCTGCCCCTTCCCCGCTTGCACTCTGTCTTTCAAAAATATGGGGCGCCTGAGCGTCCGACTTCAGCCAGGTCACGATCTCGCGGTCCCTGAGTTCGAGCCCCGCGTTAGGCTCTGGGCTGATGGCTCGGAGCCTGGAGCCTGTTTCCGATTCTGTGTCTCCCTCTCTCTCTGCCCCTCCCCCGTTCATGCTCTGTCTCTCTCTGTCCCAAAAATAAATAAAAACGTTGAAAAAAAATTGAAAAAAAAATAATAAAACGTTAAGAAATAATAGTAAATAAATAAATGTATTTAAAATAAAAAAGCCTTCAAGGGCTTTCCATTGCCATCAAGATAACCAGGTTTTAGTTTTTAAAGTAGCTACAATCTGTTAACCCTTTTCCAGTTTAGCATCTCGTTTCCTGTTGTGCTTAGAAAGACCCATCCTCACGAGTTGTAAAAGCATAACTTGTAAGAGGCTAAAAAGAAAATCAACTAAGCTAAATGATACATTGAAAATGCGTGTTAGGGCACCTGGGTGGCTCAGTTGGTTAAGCATCTGACTCTTGATCTTGGCTCAGGTCATGATCTCACCAGTTGGCGAGTTTAAGCCCCGCATCAGGCTCCCCACTCTCAGTGCAGAGCCTGCTTGGAATTCTCTCTCTCCCTCTCTCTCTCTGCCCCTTCCCTGCTCATGTGTGTGTGCTTTATCTCAATAAATAAATAAATAAATAAATAAATAAATAAATAAATAAATAAAAGAAAATGTGTTTTTGAGAGAAAGAGAGAGGAGGAGAGGCAGAGAGGGAGGGAGACAGAATCGCAAGCAGGCTCTGCGCAGCCAGCACAGAGCCCAACACGGGGCTCAAAGTCACGAACCATGAGATCATGACCTGAACAGAAATCAAGTCGGATGCTTTTCCAACTGAGCCACCCAGGCAGTCCCAGCCTGTATCTTTTATTGTCTGGATTTTAGTAGCACAAAAATATTATTTTGTAATTTTTTAAAAGCTACAATAAAATAAAGTTAAACTTTTTTTCAATTTTGAAATGGCAGTCTGAACATACGTATTTCCCTTCACACCCCCAAATCGCAATGAAAAAGCAGAAGAAATAGACAAATACAGTAGAAGATGAATCATTCAGGATTCTAAATACCAAAGGCATCCAAACCAAAGAATTGCTCTATCAGGTTTTGTCTTAAGATCATCTGTTTCTCATGGGAATGCAAGCTGGTGCAGCCACTCTGGAAAACAGTACGGAGGTTCCTCAAAAAACTGAAAATAGGGGGGCGCCTGGGTGGCGCAGTCGGTTAAGCGTCCAACTTCAGCCAGGTCACGATCTCGCGGTCCGTGAGTTCGAGCCCCGCGTCAGGCTCTGGGCTGATGGCTCGGAGCCTGGAGCCTGTTTCCGATTCTGTGTCTCCGTCTCTCTCTGCCCCTCCCCCGTTCATGCTCTGTCTCTCTCTGTCCCAAAAATAAATAAACATTGAAAAAAAAAATTAAAAAAAAAAAAAAAACTGAAAATAGGGGGCGCCTGGGTGGTGCAGTCGGTTAAGCGTCCGACTTCAGCCAGGTCACGATCTCGCGGTCCGTGAGTTCGAGCCCCGCGTCGGGCTCTGGGCTGATGGCTCAGAGCCCGGAGCCTGTTTCCGATTCTGTGTCTCCCTCTCTCTCTGCCCCTCCCCCGTTCATGCTCTGTCTCTCTCTGTCCCAAAAATAAATAAACGTTGAAAAAAAAAACAAACTGCAAATAGAACCACCCTACGACCCAGCAATAGCACGACTAGGTATTTATCCAAGGGACACGGGTGTGCTGTTTTGAAGGGACACACGCACCCCCATGTTTATAGCAGCACTATCCACAATAGCCAAAGTATGGAAAGAGCCCAAATGTCCATCGATGGATGAATGGATAAAGAAGATGTGGTATATATACACGATGGAGTATTACTCGGCGATCAAAAAGAATGAAATCTCACCATTTGCAACTACATGGATAGAACTAGAGGGTGTTATGCCAAGCAAAATTAGAGAAAGACAAATATATGACTTCACTCCTATGAGGACTTTAAGAGACAAAACAGATGAACATAAGGGAAAGGAAACAAAAATAATATAAAAACAGGGAGGGGGACAAAACACCAGAGACTCTTAAATATGGAGAACAAACAGAGGGTTACTGGAGGGGGTTTGGGAGGGGGGGATGGGCTAAATGGGTAAGGGGCACTAAGGAATCTACTGAAATCGTTGCACCATATGCTAACTAATTTGGATGTAAATTTAAAAACATAAAATTTAAAAAATAAAAATAAATAGGATCTTCTGTTTCTCAGTCATGCCTCTGGGTTTGCTGAGGATCAATGACCATATCCCATTGTCACTGGTGCTGGAAGATCCAGCAGGCGGGGCGAGATTCATTGCCCATGTCAGGTGGTCCCCGTGGGTAGAGTGATGACAGGAGATACTACGTGGTGAGGTCACAGCACGGGTTCTGGAAAATCCCAGTTTTTTTGTTTTTGAAGGATAACAATTGTATAAAGTCCTAAATTGAAAGTATGCAAATGTAAGTGCATTGGTTGTTAAGTTCTTTTCAAGGACATTACTCTCTTTAGGTGCTAAGATAATGGAATTCCAGAAATAGTCTTTACCCAGGACGGATCTGCTTCCAGAACTGGTTCTCTGCATGAATGACTACCTGCTCTAAATCTGTGACATAGTTGGGAAACTGGAAGAGATACTCCCGACAGACAAAACAGTGAGGAATTCCTGGAAGATGTGTTCAGAACCAATGAATGGGCGGCAACCCCGGTAAAATGGGGACAAATACTCCCACAAGCAAAAGAGAAAAGCTCCAAAAAAGGTGCATTTTCTGAACAAAACCCTGGCACACCTCTGAGATAAGAAGCAAGAGGGAAGGTGAGAAAATACGCATGTGGACAGTTGGCCAGAAAGTTAATTAATGGTGTGGCTGGGTCGTTGGTCTCCCCAGAGAGCATTCTCCCATTTCAGCTGAAATGCCTTAGACCGTCTCAGATTGCCCAGACCACCATCACAAATCCCCAGACACTGGTTGCCTTTCACATGCCACAGATTTATTTCTCAAAGTTCTGGAGGCTGGGGAGTCCAAGATCAAGGCACCAGCAGGTTTCGTGTCTGCTGGGAACCCACTTCCTGGTTCACAGACCATCATCTCCTTACCCTGTCCCCACAGGACAGAAGAGGTGAGGGAACTCGCTAAGGTCCTTTTTTTTCTTTTTTTTTTAATGGGCACTAATCCCATTCATGAAGGTTCTACCCTGGTGCGCTAATCACTCCTCAAAGCCCCCACCTCCTGTCATCATCACGTCGGGGATTAGAATTGCAGCACATGAATTATGTGTTGGGGGGGGGGGGATGTAAACATTCAGTCCACTGCCCCATGAGAATAAATAGTTCATGAAAGAGAGAGTTCGGGGGCGCCTGGGTGGCGCAGTCGGTTAAGCGTCCGACTTCAGCCAGGTCACGATCTCGCGGTCCATGAGTTCGAGCCCCGCGTCGGGCTCTGGGCTGATGGCTCAGAGCCTGGAGCCTGTTTCCGATTCTGTGTCTCCCTCTCTCTCTGCCCCTCCCCCGTTCATGCTCTGTCTCTGTCCCAAAAATAAATAAACATTGAAAAAAAAAATTAAAAAAAAAAAGAGAGTTCGGACGAAAATATTAAAGAACAACAATGGCACAAAATTCAGCCAAAGGAGAACTGAGCACCAAGGAAACAGAGTTAATACAGTTAATACGCTAGGTCAGGAGACAGCAAACCACTGGCCACATCCAGCCTGCCACCTGTTTTTTACAGTTCGAGAAAGCTAAGAATGGTTTATACCCATGACCATTTGCAATCGATTGGATGACAGGGAACACGCTAACTTTGAAGCCCAATTTAGTGAAAGTTATCCCCCCTCCACCCCCAAGAAAGAAATTCATCCTCCTCATTAGTAGACCCATATTACAAAAACATATGTATATTCTCAATTATGTTTTTAACTTAATTCAGAAGTTGTGAAAATTTGTGGACTTTGTAAGTGGCAGAGCCTGGATTTGAACCCTGGAAACCTGACCATTCACACCACTGCCTCCCCAGAACATAAAGAGCCGCCTTCTGGAGAAGACAGGTGCATTTTCTAGATGGTGCTCTGAGCTTCGCTTAGGAGCATTCCTGAAACCGCCCCACAAGTCTAGCCAAGGTCCATCATCATTTCCATTCAGCGCCACCTAGTGGAACCAGCACTAACCGGGAGCCTGACTGGCCGAGTTTGCACCCTCTACTGCCCCTGTCCCTCCGTGCCTGGTCTCTCCGGGGCTCCAGGCCTTGGTGTTGTCACCTTAAACCAAGGAGGTGAACGAGAACAGGAACATCATGCAGGTGAGGCTTTCCGGCCTCGCGCTGCTGCCTCATGGGTGTTCAATAAACCTTATCTGCTGGATGAAATGTACCAGCAACGGCCGGTTTCCCAGGCCGGTTCCAAGGGACACTTGAAATACTGACTCGCGCATCGTTAGGGCCCTTTTTTGGGACGATCTGGACCCAGCCCCTTCC